ACGTACGGCGAGTGGGGAGGAAAGACCCCACTCCACGTAACCACAAGCCCCGCCTAGAGGGGGATAAAAACCCCCACGGGGTCTAACGGGGCCAAGGCCCCCCAAGTCAGCCCCTCCCCAGCCCCGGGAACCTACACGACAGGTCCCGGGGCCGAGCCGTTCCCCCAAAGCCCCGGCCGTACCAGAAAACCGGGGCAGCCGTGAAAACACTAAGGAAGGGAGCCCACTGGCAGACTCATACAACACGGCTGGAGGAACAGGCCCAAATGCCCCCGTCACTACCCGGAAGGGGAATTCCCCGAGACTGCCCGAGTCTCAACACCACCAAACACCCCGCCCTGAACCTACAGACGGTAAGGAACCGGATGCAGGCAGGAAGGGTGAACCAGGGGAAAGACAAGGGGGCGTGGATGGAACCGAAGCAACCAACACCCCCAAGTCCCAAAACGAACTACAACGGGGCAGCCCCCGGGGCTCCCGGGGAGGAAACCATGAGAACGTTGCCACCACCAAGGCTCAAGTGCAACGCCCCTGCTGCCCGCACCCGCTTTGTTAGCACAACTGGGTAACCGAGCCACAACGAGCAACCAAACTCGCAGGACACCGGGTCGAAGGTGTCACCGACCCCACAGGCAGCAGACGGAGGCAAAACAGAGAGTCACCCAGAGACAAAAGGTGAGAGCAACCCTCAAACTCGCTGGAAGCGAGGGGGGGCTCTGGGGTCACAGCCATCGGACCCACGCGCCCCCAGGGGTTTCCCAGGGTCCCGAGCGTTTACTTTAAGAGGACTCGCGCTCAGGTAATCCCAGGCAGGGTACTGCTAACCGGCACCCAAGCTACCAAACAACTTTCTAAGAGCTGAACCCCCGGGACGTGGGTGTGGATGGAACCGAAGCAACCAACACCCCCAAGTCCCAAAACGAACTACAACGGGGCAGCCCCCGGGACGTGTACACTCACGGGGACCTAGCAGGGGTACCACCAGAAATACTCAGAACACAAGGGACACAAGGGGCAAGAACGAAGGCAGACCCCCCCACCAGGCATATAAACAAAAGAAAAAGAAAACCCCGCAAGAGGACAGCGTACCCAAGCGGAACAGAGCCGGCCGCTATGATTGGTAAAGACAAGCTGCACAGTACCCCGCGCCCCACCAGTGCAAACACTGCCCCTTACTCTAAGGCGAACAAGGGAGACAGAACACCCGAGCACACAAAGAGCGGCCGAAAACCAAGCAGTAAACGGCCAAGCAGGGGCAGGACCCAAGGAACTTGTGGAAGGTGGCCCCAAGCCCCAAGGGCAGTACTTACAGGGCACCTAGGGAAGGGAACCCTAGGCGCATGCAGCCCGAGTACTGAAGAATCACTCCCGGCTCACGCACCACCTAGAAAACAGACACCACACTCTAGGTACAGTGCTGAAACAACCACTGGAGCCGGAGCACATAACCATTGCCTATAGCATCAGCCGAAGAACTGATGGGTGGATAGCCGGCGTGGGAGGTCTAGGGCTCCCCCTTCCCCCTCCCGGGGAGGGGGGAGCTGCGCAGACAGCGGCGCGGTGACGTATGACGTCATACTAGTTTCCTTGTTTTCTGTTGAAGAGTTCTATTCACTAGTTCGGCTTAGGTAGCAATTTTCACCAGATTAGGGGTTTGTTTTGGAATGCTTACCTTTCTGGATGCTTGACCCGGTCGATGGCAGACATAGAATGCTTCCAACCACACGGGGGTTTCTATAGGCCATTGCTCCCCTTGCCTCTCTGAGGGGGCCAGGTTCTGGCTCGTGGTCCCCGGTAGGCCCTAGAACTCCATACACACGACTGATGCCAAAGTCTGACATTAGCATATCAGCCGGTAAAGCTCCGGGGAGCCGACGGGGCTCCCCCCAGAAAAGTATGGTGGGAGGAGAATGTGGGCGAGTGAGGTGTTGAGGGAGTGAGTAGCAGCAAGTGGCTGGCTGGTGTATGGCGGTCACTCCTCGTTACTTTTTGACTCATAATACCAACTTAGTGGTTCGTTATGGTGAACAAAACATGCAGATACTTATATATGACCTTTATATATAGTGTAATAACCGACAAAGTATTTGTTCACTGTTTGATGAACATAAAAATTGAATCAACAATATGCACACCATATTTTTGAGGGCAGCGATGATTCACTCATTTTATTATATAAATATATCACACTACACACTATTGAATAATATTACAGCAAAAAACTACGAAAAATCAATCAGAGACATTGAAATAATTAGGTAATTATCTCTTTGTGGCCACTCCTGCCTGACAGCTGGTGAGCAACAGACCGCCTGGGACGCACGCTGAGTCGGCGCCTGCTTTTTGCCAGACTTCCCCACCCTATAGCGGGCAATATATGCCACTTACGATTTTTTTATTATTTTTCCCATGATCAGAAAACACAAGTTAACAGGTTTAGAAGAAAAAATTATTTTTCCTTTTTTGGTATGCGTCTGTGGGTGACAAATGGTAATTAACCCTGAGCAACACAAGGGTTAACTAAATGAAAAATGCCCAAAAAAGCAGGAAAGGAATGATAAACTTTCAACTGCCCGGCAGCCATATGCAAAGAGTGGGTTACAACAAACCACAGCTGTGGGATGGTGTGCCACAACCAGAGCACTGCCCTGGCAGTCAGTTGTGGCAACTCAAACTGTATAGCAAAAATTTGCCAAAAATATAAACAACGAAATGGCTGATCTGAGAGGAGGGAAGAGCAGGGGTACCAAAATCACCGGAAAATAACGTGCAATAAATGTATGATGAACCAAACAAAAAAGTTGATACTGTATATTAATATATATATACCGATATTTTTGTTTTCCCCAAGGACAAAACATCCAAGCAAAAGATGGATGCATCTGATGCGAGGGTGCATAAATCAAGCTGGCAAATACAGTAATACTAATTCAGAAAGGGAAGGAGGGGATGAAAACCTCTTCTCCTGCAGCAACAACCTCTGCCCAGAAGGCACAAGAGTCTAAGCACTCCAGGTGGACTCCCCCTGAGCCCGAGGAGCCCCCAACAAAGGCCCCGGGGAAGAGCCCTCTTCTATGCCCACCACCCCTGAAGAAAAGGCGGCATCCAGGGAAAACGCACCCAAAAAGGAAGTCTGCTGGATTGACCCAGAAGCCTCGGTGGGAAAATTGGGCTCAACCACCTCCACGCCCAAATCAGAAGGGGCAGCCCCCGAAGCCACCCGAGCCTCATCCCGTGTTAAACCCTGCCCCGACCCCGAAACCTTCAGACGTGGCTACTAAGTGGCTCCCAGAACTGAAGGGCAAGAGCTACGAGAAGAGGTTAGAGGCAGTAAATATGTCAAAACTAGAAGACAGAAGAAGAAGAGGTGATATGATCACTACGTACAAAATAGTAACAGGAATTGATAAAAATCAACCAACCCGGCTCGTTGTGATAAGCAGAATCGAGCATGCAACACAGCCGCTGCCTGATCTCCAAGATCAACAGACAAGGAATGAAAAAAGTGAAGTACAAGTGGGGAACTAGGTCCGCAAGAATACCCAACAGGCAGCATGACAGAAACAGTACGAGTGATCTTTTCCCTGAGGCAGGGGCAACGAATAACCTTTGACGTCGCACAAGGTGAGAGCAGGCTCAGAAGAAGCAGCCATTGTATAACTGAGCACACGGGTTTTCCAGAGCCCATAGGGTGAATTAGCTCTACAGGAAGTCCAGGCACTGGGGCCAGCTAAGTCAGCAGAACCCTGTCAGGTAGCAGGCAAACTGATCGCCAGTAGCAGCTACGAAACCTCGGGAGCAACAGAGGAGGACTACTAACACAACCTAGGCTTGCCTAATAACAAGCTAAGCAGACCACCTCTGTCTAAACAAGATGAGAATGCCAGAGAATGAAAATATAATAAAAACAAAAAACCCCAAAGACACACAACAAACAAACTGGCAGTCAGAGAAACATTGACCACTGCGTTGAAGTAAGGCTAGCTGCACCAGCCGCAGTGTGCCCCTCCCAGTCAATAGCAATCCCCTACCTGGGCCAAGACAGAAAGGCCTAGACTCATGACATACCTCAAGGGCGAAGACAACATCAAGCGATGAAGTTCTCAAATAGGGAGTGATTCCTGAATGCCCAAGGTAAGATAACCCTGACATACAAGAGCAGTACTCACAGAGCACCTAGGGAAGGTCACCCTAGGCGCATGCTGCTCCTGTACACTAAGACGCCTGGCCACCATACCACACACAGCTGAAACAGCCACACAGCTGATCACCAGCACATCAGTTCAAGAACTGGAGTGGCAGGCTGCTGGCTCCCCTTCCTGGGGAGGGGGGGAGGGGGGGAAGCACTTCATGTGGGTAAACACTTTTTGTTGCTTGTTGGATTTCTTTCTAGAGGCGATAATTTTGATCTTTTGAATATAGATTGCACAGGTTAACCAGTGGTCAGTTTTGATTCGCCTACCTTTCTGGGCCCTTCCCCAGTCGATGGCAATTATGACATACTTTAAATGTAAAGTGCTCATAGGCCATTGCTTCCTGCACCTCTCTGAGGGGGGACCAGGTTCTGGTTCATGGTCCCCGGTAGACATAAGGATTCCTTTGATTGATGACCCCAAACTAATATAGCACATGTCAGTTTGGATAGCTTCAGGGAGCCTACGAGGGCTCCCTACACTCTGAAAGTGTAGGGAGATATACTCTGAAAGTCAATGTGGAGGTTGAAGAAGTGGAGCACACCACCAAGTGAGCCTACTGTGAGCTTAACTAGGAACAATCCATTAAAATTTCCCCACTGTGATACTTCTATAAACAAATGGGTCAATTGGTCCAATACAGTTCCCCCCTTCTACAATATGAAACAGTAAATGGAACTGAGAAACAAACAATTTTACCTATATCCAGTAAATTGCTGAAAATAAAAATAACATTACAGTATCAGAATTAATATAGAACAGCATGTGTTATCTAATAAGATTAAATAAAAAACATAAAAATCTTACTTAAAATATGGACAGCCAGAAGCTAATAAAGCTTTGCTAACTTTCACAGTCCCATCCGAGAGCTTTACAGTTCCATCGCACAGAGCTGCAAAATGTCGAAATGTTGAGAGCTCTTTTAAAACTCTCGATGCATGTAGTGTTCCTGTTGTGTACTCTTGGCGATTCATTTTGTCAGCTACTACACATCCCTACACTCACTTAACAGAATTTTGCACATGGTAGTTTTGTAGTTCTGCAAAGGAAAATGTATTTCATTATTGCATGAAACCAGAGATGTGTTATATTTTTGTTAGGTTTATTATCCCAATTTATAGCTTGTTTATATTTAATATTTTACCTATGTATTTTATCTCTAAACTCCATTAGTTATGCCATAAAGTAGAGTGATATTACGCAATCATCATGTGACTAGTGAGAGTACTTTATCATTTTCTTTAGCATACATAATTATTGATATTCCATGCAAGGTATGGTATGTAAAATTCTGTCTTGTAATGTAGAGTGCACATTTCTTAAAAATGTTAAGCGACTAATGCTTTAAAATGCATATATATTCAAATAAACAACTTATCTGCAAAAGAATAAACTAAATGGTTTGAATACATGTGGGGCGATCAAGAAAAGTATCTCCCGGAATATCTCAGGCTACAGGGTGATATGGTGAATATGGAGAGTATAATGGGTAGTGAATGTAATAAGTTATTAGAGGTTGTTAGAGTTGTGTGATGAATGTACTCACCTAGTTGTCCTTGCAGGAGTTGAGCTTTGGCTCTTTGGTCCCGCCTGTCAACTGTCAATCTACTGGTGTACAGATTCCTGAGCTTCTCGAGCTCTATCATATCTACATTTGAAACTGTGTATGGAGTCAGCCTCCACCACATCACTTCCTAGTGCATTCCATTTACTAACTACTCTGACATTGAAGAAGTTCTTTCTAATGTCTCTGTGGCACATTTGGGTACTCAGCTTCCACCTGTGACCCCTTGTGCATGTACCACCCATGTTAAATAATCCATCCTTGTCTATCCTGTCAATTCTCCTGAGAATTCAGTGTGTGATGATCATGTCTCCTCCCGAGCTCTTCTGTCTTCCAGTGACGTGAGGTGCAGTTCCCGCAGCCTTTCGTCATATCTCATGCCTCTTAGTTCAGAGACCAGCCTAGTGGCATATTTTTTAACTTTTTCCAGCTTCATCTTGTGCTTGACAAGGTACGGGCTCCATGCTGGGGGCTGCATACTCCAGGATTGGCCTTACATATGTAGTATACAACATTCTGAAGGATTCCTTACACAGGTTTCTGAAGGCAGTTCGGATGTTAGCCTGCCTCGAATGCACTGCCGATGTTATTCTTTTTATGTGGGCTTCAGGAGACAGGTTTGGCATAATATCAACTCCTAGATCTCTCTCTCTGTCTGTTTCGTGAAGGACTTCATCTTCCATTCTGTATCTAGTGTCTGGTCTCATATTTCCTCTCCCTAGTTTCATTACCTTATATTTACTTGGGTTGAACTTTAGTAGCCATTTGTTGGACCATTCCTTTAGTTTGTCTAGGTCAACTTGTAGCCTTATCTTCTTCTTGTCTTAGATGTAGCCCGCATCTTCTTCTGTCTTAATCCTCCTCATACTTTTTGCATCATCAGCAAACATTGAGAGGAACGAGTCTATTCCCTCTGGGAGATCATTTACATATACTGTATTAGAAACAGTATAGGCCCAAGGACTGATCCCTGTGGGACACCACTGGTGATGCCACGCCACTCCGAGTCCTCCCCCCCCCCCCTCACAGTGACGCACTGTCTTCTGTTGCTTAGGTACTCCCTTATCCAGTGGAGTTCCTTCCCTTTCACTGCCGCCTGCATCTCCAGCTTGTGCACTAGTCTCTTATGTGGTACTGTGTCAAAAGCTTTCTGGCAATCCAAAAATATGCAGTCTGCCCAGCCCTCTCTATATTGCCTGATTTGTGTTACCTGGTCATAGAATTTAATTAATCCTGTGAGGCATGATTTGCCAGCCTTGAACCCATGCTGATGTTGTGTTACAAATTCTTTCACTCCAGATGTTCCACTAGTTTTTTTGCACAATCTTCTCCATCATCTTGCTTGGTATGCAAGTTAAGGCCTGTAGTTCAGTACCGCCTGGCTTTCACCCTTCTTGTATATCGGGACTACATTGGCCGTCTTCCAAATTTTTGGCACTTCACCTGTTACCAGTGATTTGTTGTACACCATGGATAGTGGCAGGCACAGAGCTTCTGCTCCTTCCTTTAGTATCCATGGTGAGATTCCATCCGGGCCTATAGCCTTTGTCACATCCAAATCTAGCAGATGCTTCCTCACCTCCCCACTGGTAATCACAAACTCCTCTAGTGGTGTCTGGTTAGATACTCCCTCTCTTATCTCTAGGACTTTTCCTTGCTCTACTGTGAAGACCTGGAATTTCTTATTGAGTACTTCGCACACTTCCTTGTCGTCTGTAGTGAATGTCTGCCCCTATCCTCAGTTTTATTACCTGTTCCTTCACTGTTGATTTTCTCCTGATGTGGCTGTGCAGCAATTTAGGTTGAGTCTTTGCCTTGCTCTAATGTGGTACTGTAGTTGTGGTAGTTGAGTTGTCTGTAATGAATCTGGGGGTTGTTCTTGAAGTTCTGATGTTTGTAGATGTGATATTTGTAGTGGTTGCAGAGTGTGTGGTCATACTTAAGGTTACAATGATAGTTGTGGTCTTCAAATTGGCGGTAATTGTTGTAGTGATGATTGTACTCACCTAGTTGTGCTTGCAGGGGTTGAGCTTTGGCTTTTTGGCCCTGCCTCTCAACTTTCAATCAACTGGTCTCCCCCCCCCCCCAGAAAGCAGCCCATAGCAGCTGTCTAACTCCCAGGTACCTATTTACTGCTAGGTGAAAAGGGGCATCAGGGTAAAAGAAACTCTGCCCATTTGTTTCTGCCTCCGCAGGGGATCAATCCCTGGACCCTAAGACTACAAATCTTGAGTGCTGTCCACTCAGCCGTCAGGCCCCTGCACTAACAATGTGGTAGTGGCATTGTGTTTATAATGATTGTGGTGGTGGAAGTTGTGGTGTCTGCATCGGTGGTGTAGTTGTGGAAGCTATGATGTTTATATCAGTGATGTGGTGGTGGATTTTTTTTTTTTCAGGAATATTCCTGCGCGGGCCCTAAACCTCTGGCTTGCCCACTAAGTGTTACTTGTTTCTGTTTTACTTAGGCGGAGTATAAGTATTTATAACTCATATGTTGGCTTCAGTAAGATTTTCCCCCATGTGTTTGACAACTTCTTTTGCTCTGTTGAATCTAAGTTGAAATCTTATTGGGTTTGTAACTGCACTGTGTTAGATAATGTTCCAGTAGTCTGTCGGGTATTTCTCGACAGTGCTGATATTTTCTCTCATCTTCTTGAACCTGTAAGCCTATTTCCCATTCACATGGGTATTAAAGCCTGATGTGATCTAAGTGTACTTCTGTTGTACTGTGATGATGGAAGTTGTAGTGTTTGTACAAGTAATGTGGAGGTGGAAGTTGGGGTGTCTGTACCAGTGGTGTAGTGGTGAAAGTTGAGGTGTTTGTATCAGTGGTGTGGTGGGGAAAGATATGATGTATTAGTGGTGTGGTGGTGGTGGCCATTGTGGCCACAATGAAAGAAGCCTTAGTGTTATGATCACATTGTACTTCAGTATTTAAAGGTTTCAAGTCAACACAATGAAGCTTCTCATGTCAATTTTAATAACATCCAAAGTTTTGTGTTCAAGTATTTTATGTGCCTAGTCATTACAAGAAGACATTCTCAAAATATTAAATGAAGATAAGCCATCAGCTTCCTGTCTCCATCAGTGCCATTAGTGATGGTGGCCCTCGGGTAAATCCAGGTAACTATAACGATACCAAATTATCATGTGTTGAGATCAGGACTTCTTATTGGCCACGTAAGTGGTGTGTGAGTTGCCACAGATTCATGACCTATATGACTACCTGATTTACCGGAGGGCCACTAACTCTAGTGGCCTCAACAAGGACAAGAAGCCGGTGGCTTGTTGAACCTCCTCCTCTTCCTCCCCCATTTGCCGCGATGATTCATTTCCAGGTAGATTTTAAAACTTAACACAGTTTTGGCAGTTACGGCTTCAGCGGCCTTATAACATGGGGTTCCATGGGCTTATAACCCTGTGGGTGATAAAGCATCTCCTGTTCTCAGTGCTACATTGTGGCTCGTTGAGCTTGAAACCGTTGCTCCTTGTTTGTGTTACATCTGACCTTTTGAAGAAATTGTCTGGATCAACATCCTCTAACTTGTTCAGTACAGTATTTTAAAAGTTTCAATGAGATCTGCCCTGCCATGTCTGGTTTGCAGTGCTGTTAGCCTTGTAGCCTTCAACTATTCCTAATATGAGAAATGACTTAGAGGTACTGTATAGGGACTTCTGAATGGTTCAAATCAATTTTAATTAATTTTATTTGAACCAACTTTAATCCAAATATCCAATTTACAAATAAACTAACTCATTGGAGTTAGAATAGCATCTCTTGAATTACTGGATGAGTTAGGTTATGTTGGGATGCATTATGCGTAATTTGGAAATGGAGCAGTTTAAACTAAAACCATCATCATACACATTAGTAAATTTGTATAATCTACCTACAAATAAGATCTCAGTTTTACTAAAATGGCTTCTGTGACAGTTTTACCAATCAAACTATCACAAGATAGGCCTGGGCTCCAGGCTGGACTGAGGGTATAGAACTCTCAGAACCAACTAGATGAAAACTACATACAAAAACTACAGATATTCCTTTCCTATTGATATAAATATACTGTGTATGCACTGTATGTATATATGTACTGTATGTATGTATGTATGTATGTATGTATGTATGTATGTATGTATGTATGTATGTATGTATGTAGTATGCAACCCGTTCTCGCAAATTTAATAAGTCAATATTGACTTATTAAATATGTGCATAGGTGACATACTTAACATAATAGATACCCTTAAAAAGATTCATAGAAAACACCGACCTTACCTAACCTTGTTAGTATCTTAAGATAAGCATCTTATTGCTTCGTAATTACAATTATTACCTAACCTATAATAGGTATAGGTTAAGTAATAATTGTAATTACGAAGCAATAAGATGCTTATCTTAAGATACTAACAAGGTTAGGTAAGGTCGGTGTTTTCTATGAATCTGTTTAAGGGTATCTATTATGTTTAGTATATCACCTATGCACGTAGTTAATAAGTCAATATTGACTTTACGAATTTGCGAGAACGGGTTGATGTATGTATGTATGTATGTATGTATGTCGTATGTACAGTATGTATGTATGTAAGGGTATATGTATGAATAAAATACATATTGGTAAGATATAGGATCATTAAATACTGCAACCATGGTCTGAATCCTTCTATATACACAGCACAGACCATGTTGAACCTCTATATATACTCAGTACAGGCCAGGTTTTGAAATCACTATTTTGAAAATTGCCTTTATTGAGTATACACAATACTTAATACAAGTAATAATAGGATAATACGTAGTAAAATCTCAAAAGAACATCTATCATTAATGTGAAATCAAATATTTCTAGATACAGCCATTATATGTTTATTGACTTAATATCAATATTTACAATGAACAAATCCAAAGAAGCTGTGATGAAAGTTCGAACCTATGTGCTGGGTGTTCCAGGCACGCTCTAGTCAACTGCACCATGACATGGTCAAAAGAATTGCAACCTGGGGTACAACAGCACCCACTTGGATTCCCGAGGCTTCTACTGAAGCCGAACCAGAGTTTCACACAATTCCCCCATGCACTTGGGCTATGTCGTCCAGTAGTTCTATCTCTGACGCCCCCCTCTTTCAATACACACAGAAATTACATTATCATGATGTATCAATGAACAAATCAATTATATTCCCAGGTTGCAATTCTTTTGACCATGTCGTGGCGCAGTTGGCGAGAGCGTGCCTGGGAACACCCAGTGCATATGTTCAAACATTCAACACGGGTCCTGCGGATTTGTTCATTGATACATCATGATAATGTGATTTCTCTGTGCATCAATAATTACCTTTTGCAAATACTGCATTACAGTCATATTTAATCGATCTTACTTAATCAAGTACAGTATCATTAAATATTTATTATTTAAGAGCACAACAAAATTAAGGAACTACAGAACAAAATATGTAAATACAGTACTGTATACCTGCAATGGAACAACTGGAACAATGTTAGCAATGCACTGGTGATATAAATGGAACTTGCAAAAAAAGGCATTATTTTTTTTAAATACTGTAAGAACTTTTAAAGTTTATAAATAAGGACCAATCCGTAGATCTCCGGTTGAGGCCATAATGATTAGGGCAGGTGTACCGTCACTGAAGTAGCTACGATGCCACAGTGCCGAATGAGCCTCCTGGTGGCAGAGTACTGTATGCCCCAGCTGCCAAATGGCAAAATTTTTCAGCCGGATGAATAAAAAACACATCATCGTTATCCAGTGGTCCCCCATAGAGCAAGAGGCAGACACCAACTACTATAGAAACACTATAGGGGCACTACAGCTCACCGAAGACCAGTTGATCCAAGTGCCTCTTGCCCAACACAATGCCAAAATCCTCCATATATTTATACAAGTTCTTATATTCTTGTAAAGCCACTATCATGCATAGCGTTGCAGGAAGGTCCTTATTCTAATTTTCCCCGGAATACGACCCACCAAATCCTTTAACAACCAGGTATCCATTCACTTCTGGGTAAACAGGCTATGTTCCGAACCATAATGGAAACTGACCCAAGTATAGGATGGGTTAGACCAAGTATCGCGTTTTCAAAAGGGTCGCCCGTGTTGGAAAAGACGAACGCTGAAAGAATATTGTTGAAAACATCTTGATAACTGATTAAACCAAAATTATTTATTAGTCAGAAGAAAGACAGAAACGCAATCTATATGTAAAACCTCTACCAGACAAATATTTTAAGTAAAACCGAAGATATTTGTAGTTGTATAAAAGTGGCAGTTTTCATCGCTCGTCGAGCTCGAAAACCGCAGCATTCATCTCAGAACCATGCCTATTTCACGCAGATTCCTTAATAAACGTAAGAGTTTTATATGTCACAAGAGAGACAGATATATAAGCTTCGTTCTAAATACCTTACCATGGGCATATTTAAATTTAAAGCGAAGATATGTGTACTTTTATAATAGCCGAGCTCTGACTCCGGACAGATCGATCGACGGAGCAACTCTCTCTCAGAACAATGCTTATTTCACGTGAATTCGTTAATAAACATATATGTTTTATATGTCTCAAGAAAGGCAGACATATAAGCTTCACTTTAAACACCTTACCATACACATATTTAAAGTTCTAATGAAGATACATGTATTTTAAAAATTACGGAGCTCCGACCCCACAGTTATTGATTGGCACCCGGTCAATCCTCTCCGGCCAGGATACGAACCCAGGCCAAACATCACAATCTCAAAACATTCCTGAGACACCACGCAATGTGTAAGTCAATGTATCAGCATCCCCAGGTGCAGCACCAGCCAGTTGTCTATAATCATGGAAGTTGGTATGGTGGCAGGTGTGGAGGATAGACAGGGCTGGGGGCCCATGCAGGTGTACGGGGGTGGGGTAGGTGTAGGGGGTAGGTGTAGGGGGTAGGTGTAGGGGGTAGGTGTAGGGGGTAGGTGTAGGGGGTAGGTGTAGGGGGTAGGTGTAGGGGGTAGGTGTAGGGGGTAGGTGTAGGGGGTAGGTGTAGGGGGTAGGTGTAGGGGGTAGGTGTAGGGGGTAGGTGTAGGGGGTAGGTGTAGGGGGTAGGTGTAGGGGGTAGGTGTAGGGGGTAGGTGTAGGGGGTAGGTGTAGGGGGTAGGTGTAGGGGGTAGGTGTAGGGGGTAGGTGTAGGGGGTAGGTGTAGGGGGTAGGTGTAGGGGGTAGGTGTAGGGGGTAGGTGTAGGGGGTAGGTGTAGGGGGTATGTGTAAGGGGGGGTGGGGTAGGTAATGGGCGGGTAAGTAGGTGTATGGGGTAGGTGAAGGGGAGGTAGGAGTAGGGGTAGGTGTAGGGGGGGTAGTTGTAGGAGGGGGGTGTAGGTGTTGGCAGGTAGGTGAAGGGTGGTAGGTGAAGGGTGGTAGGTGTAGGGGGGTAGGTGTAGCGAGCAGGTGTAGGAACAGGTGTAGGGGTGCAGGCATAAGGAACAGTTATAGGCGCAGGTGTGTGGGAGTTGACAAACCCTCCTACACTCACCAGCTTTGAAAACAAATATATGCGTGATACCATTAAATACACACACACATTAAGAACGCCAAGAATATGTAAATGATTCTCTGTGTACGTCTATGCTTGTCAATGTTTAAGGTGTGAGGGTGTTGTGAGGGTGTGTTGTTTACCGTTTGCTCGGCGAGTGGTGGTGTTGTTGTTGTTGGTCGAGGAGAGCGACGACGATTGAGGGATGAGATGCGCCCCGACTGCCCGATACCGGGAAATAGCCAAGAAGGAAATTATCCTTACAGGCTTTTCAGGCCACAGCCTCCCTACAATCTCTTCAGGTCACAGCCCCCTACAACCTCTTCAGGCCACAGCCCCCTACAACCTCTTCAGGCCACAGCCCCCTACAACCTCTTCAGGTCACAGCTCCTACAACCTCTTCAGGCCACAGCCCCCTACAACTTCTTTAGGTCACATCAGCCCCCTACAGCCTCTTCAGGCCACAGCCCCCTACAACCTCTTCAGGCCACAGCCCCCTACAACCTCTTCGGGCCACAGGAGCTGAACCTCACGTCCCTGGAAAACAGAAGAGTAAGGGGAGACATGATAACCACCTACAAAATTCTCAGGGGAATTGACAGGGTGGACAAAGACAAACTCTTCAGCACGGGTGGGACACGAACAAGGGGACAAAGGTGGAAATTTAGTACCCAGATGAGCCACAGAGACGTTAGAAATAATTTTTTCAGTGTCAGAGTAGCTAATAAATAGAATGCACTAGGAAGTGATGTGGTGGAGGCTGACTCCATACACAGTTTCAAATGTAGATACGATAGAGCCCAGTAGGCTCAGGAATCTGTACACTAGTTGATTGACAGTTGAGAGGCGGGACCAAAGAGACAAAGTTCAACCCCCGCAAGCACAATTAGGTGAGTACAGCCCCTACAACTTCTTTAGGCAACAGCCCCCTACAACCTCTTCAGGCAACAGCCCCCTACAACCTCTTCAGGCCACAGCTCCCTACAACTTCTTCAGGCCACAGCCCCCTACAACCTCTTCAGGCCACAGCTCCCTACAACCTCTTCAGGCCACAGCCCCCTACAACCTCTTCAGGCCATAGCCCCCTACAACCTCTTCAGGCCACATGTGAGGCACCCAGAGGGTGAGTTTGGAGGGGGAGGAGGAGGCGGTGCTGCTTCCCTATCCAACACCATCCTCTTCCTCCTGAGAAAACATTGCTGTTAATACACTGATGGTTCCCTACACCGCACCACGGGTGCAGCTGGAAGGGCAGTTGTCCTGACAATGGGCGATGGCTTATATTTTGAGTGGGGAGTCCGGTAAAAACAACTGGACCTCTACCCTTCAGACCGAACTATTTGCCTTGCTCCCTGCACTGAAATGTGTACAAGTCTTCAAACTTGATACATTAATTGTAAGTGACTATCATCCTTAAATGCTCTCAAATCAAATCAAATCAAATCAAAAATCAAATCACATCAAATCAAATCACATGTTTATTCAGGTAAAGTACATACATACAAGGTGAGATACAAACATTGATGGATTTATAGATAGAGCTAGTACATACAATGCCTAAAGCCACTATTACGCAAAGCGTTTCGGGCAGGACAAACACTAAGACTAAAACTTAATACTAATTGAGATTAAAGTATAAGTTGTGTTGAGAAAATAAAAAATAAAAAAGGGGGGGGGAACATGGCAGAAAATAGTAAATATACAATTTGGTCAACAAACAGCAGTGTTTAAAATAGTAGACATGGGTTCACTTTTAGGAGTTAGGTAGGTTACAAGGAGTTAATTAGGTAGTACTTAGTTTTTTATCTTAAACTGGTTGGGAGAGGTACAGTCTTTAACATGATTGGGAAGGTCATACCCCATTCTGGGTCCCTTGATTTGTAGAGCATTTCTAGTTTGATTAAGTCGTACTCTTGGAATATCAAATAGGTATTTGTTTCTGGTGTGGTGCTCATGGGTTCTCTTACAACCTTCTAAGAAGCTTTTGAGGTCAGGATTGACATTACAGTTCAGCGTTTTATATATATAAAATATACATGAAAGAATGTGCAATGACTTAATATCTTCCAAATGCCTTCCAAATGCCTCCCAACACCTCAAACCAATTCTATTTGCTGACGACACAACCTTCATTTACTCCAGTCCTGACCTCCTTGCTCTAAATGCCACAGTAAATACTGAGCTAAATAAAGTCCATCTTTGGCTAACGGCCAACAAACTCACCCTTAACATTGACAAAACTTTCTATATTCTGTTTAGCAATAAATCCTCTAATCAAATAAATCTCAGAATAAACAATACCCAAATTTGTAACAAATTAGATGGCAAATTCCTTGGCGTTCTCATTGACCACAAGCTGAATTTCCAGGGACACATTCTAAATATATAAAAAAAAGTTTCAAAAACTGTTGGCATTCTTTCTAAGATCAAATATTATGTACCCTGCCATGCTCTGGTGATGCTCTATTACTCCCTCATCTATCCATATCTCAACTATGGTATTTGTGCTTGGGTATTTGTGCTATGGTATTTGGCCCCAGACATCACTCGGACATCACCGAGTGATGTCTGGGGCCAGAATTAAATATTGTTCTAATAGCAGCTTTGTGTTGAGTAATTAGAGGACGTAAATGATTTTGGGTAGTAGAACCCCAAGCACAATAACCATAGTTGAGATAAGGATAGATGAGAGAGTAATAGAGCGTCACTAGGGCAGGGCGAGGTACATAATATCTGATCCTAGAAAGAATACCAACAGTTTTTGATTTTTTTTTTATATATTTAGAATGTGTCCCTGAGAATTCAGCTTGTTATCAATGAGAACGCCAAGGAATTTGCCATCTACTTTGTTACAAATAATAAATAAATAAATAATAATAAATAAATAAATGTTTATTCAGGTAAAGTACATGCATACAAGAGGTTATACAAAAATTGATAGATTTATAGATAGAGCCAGTACATACAATGCCTAAAGCCACTATTACACAAAGCATTTCGGGCAGGAAAAACATTAAAGACTAAAACTTAATACTAATTGAGATTAAAGTATAAAATGTATTGAGAAAAATAAAAAAAGGGGGGAACATGGCAGAAAAAGCAGCACAAATACAATTAGGTCGACAAACAGCGTCGTTTAAAAAAAACAGACATGGGCTGACAATAGAGGCGTAAGGTAGGTTACAGGAAATTTATTAGGTAGTGCTTAGTTTTTATCTTAAACTGGTTGAGAGAGGTACAGTCTTTAACATAATTGGGAAGGTCATTACACATTCTGGGTCCCTTGATTTGTAGAGCATGTGGGTATTGTTTATCCTGAGATTTATTTCATTTGAGAATTTATTGCCAAACAAAATATAGAAAGTTTTGTCAATGTTGAGGGTGAGTTTGTTAGCAGTTAGCCAGAGATGGACTTTATTTAGCTCAGTATTTATTGTGACATTTAGAGCAAGGGGGGTCAGGACTGGAGTAAATGAAGGTTGTGTCGTCAGCAAATAGAATTGGTTTGAGGTGTTGGGAGGCATTTGGAAGGTCAATAATGTAGATGAGAAAGAGGAGAGGGCCAAGTATGCTGCCCTGAGGAACACCAATGTTGATGGGTAGGGTGAGAGAAATTGAATTATTCACAGAAATATACTAGAGCCTGTCAGTAAGATAAGACTGAAGGTATTGCAGGGAGTGACCTCTGACTCCATAATGATATAATTTAAGAAGAAGGTTTTGGTGGTTGACAGTGTTAAAAGCCTTACGCAGGTCCACAAATAACCCATCAGGGAACTCATTTTTAACAAGAGCTCCATGTGTCAAGTTAATCATACTAATAAGTGCATCGTTAGTGCTTTTTGGGGGGCTGAAGCCATATTGACAAGAGCTAAGTATATTGTGTTTGGCTAGATAAGAGTAAAGCTGCTTGTAGATTAGTTTTCCAAATGTTTTTGATAAGTTTGGCAGAATTGATATAGGTCTGAAGTTGTTGACATCAGTGAGATCACCACATTTGTGTACTGGGGTTACTCTCGCTTTTTTTAGAATATCTGGAAAGGTTTGAAGTTCAAGTAACTTGTTGTAGAGCAATGCAATGGCAGAAGCTAAAGATCTGGAGGCTTTTTTGTAAATTAGAGTTGGTATCTCCTCAAGGGCACTAGACTTGGTTTTAAGGGAGAGGATTATCTCAATAACTCCGTGGTAGTAGTCTCCGTGGCTCCGTAGTCTCCGATAGTCTCCGTGGTGTAGTGGTAAGACACTCGCCTGGCGTTCCGCGAGCGCTATGTCATGGGTTCGTATCCTGGCCGGGGAGGATTTACTGGGCGCAATTCCTTAACTGTAGCCTCTGTTTAACGCAACAGTAAAATGTGTACTTTGATGAAAAAACGATTCTTCGCGGCAGGGGATCGTATTCCAGGGACCTGCCCGAAACGCTACGCGTACTAGTGGCTGTACAAGAATGTAACAACTCTTGTATATATCTCAAAAAAAAAAAAAATAACATCAGTGGAATTAGCAGGCGTTAGGTACAGAGACTGTGGATAGTTACCTGTAAGATAGTCCTGAACATTAGTACTGGAAGATGGAATATCATTTGCAAAGGATGACCCAATGGATGAGAAGAACCTATTGAACTCAATAGCAGTATTAGAGGGTGAAAGCAGACCATCGTTATTGGACAGGAGTATTGGTTTGTTATTTAAAATCTTCTTTGATCCCAATATTTGTGAAATTGTGCTCCATGTTTTCTTAATGTTGCCCTTTGTTTGGGTAAATTTATCTCCGTGGTATTTAATTTTGGTTCCTCTAATTATTTTAGATAGCAATGATGAATTTGAAAATTTGAACATTGATTTGAAAATTTGAATTTGAAACTTTGAATTTTCAAAGTTCAATGATGAACTTTGAAAATTCTTTGGAGACTATTCCTAACCTATATTTCTTCTCAAGGACATGTTTTTTATTAATAGATTTAAGTATCCCCTTTGTAAGCCAAGGATTGTTTAGCCTTTTAGTTGTGACTTGTTTCGTTAGCATAGGACAGTGGGTGTTATAAAGGCTGAGAGTTTTTAACAACAGCTCAACTCTCAACTCTTAAAGACATAACTGTAACATGCTCGTGTCCGAAGCTAGACACAAATACAA